AGAGGCTAGAAGCCGACAAGGCGAAATATGTCAAGAGCCAGGAGGTCATCAACGCCAAGCAGGAGCCTGTGAAGCCGGCGGTGCTGGCGAAGCCGCCGGTCTGTCCTGCGGCCAAGCGAGCGCTGGGGAGCCCCACCTTGAAAGTCTTCAGCAACAACACGAAGACCGAGAGCGGCGTCCAGAGAGAAAATCTGAAACTCGAGATTTTGAAGAACATCATCAACAGCTCCGAAGGCTCCAGCTCGGGTTCAGGGTATAAGCACGGTCCCCGAAACTGGCCGCCCCACAGAGCCGATTCGACGGAGCTGAACCGGCACTCGTTCGCCGAATCTTTGAAGGTTTATCCCACGCAGGGCCGTAGCAGCCCGCAGGAGAGCAGCTCCAATGTCAGCAGAAGGCTCCTAGATCAGTCGGCAGAGACTTTCTTGCATGTCTCTCACAGCTCCTCAGACATTAGGAAAGTAACTAGTGCAAAGCCCTTAAAAGCAATACCCTGCAGTAGTTCAGCCCCACCTCTGCCTCCAAAGCCCAAAATCGCTGCCATCGCCACCCTGAAATCCCCAGAGATTGAGGCAGTCGAGTCTGGATGCGGAGTTAGTAGAAGACCCTCCCTACAGCGATCAAAATCAGACTTAAGCGACAGATACTTTCGTGTCGACGCAGATGTTGAGCGATTCTTTAACTACTGCGGACTGGATCCTGAAGAGCTTGAAAACCTCGGGATGGAAAACTTTGCAAGGGCTAACTCTGACATTATATCCCTCAACTTTCGCAGTGCAAGCATGATAAGCTCAGACTGTGAACAGTCTCAGGACAGTAACAGTGACCTTAGAAACGATGACAGTGCCAATGACCGTGTGCCATATGGCATTTCTGCCATTGAAAGGAATGCCAGAATCATCAAGTGGTTATATAGCATCAAGCAAGCTAGAGAGTCACAGAAAGTGTCACATGTGTGAGAGAAAATCCACCGTAGAAAAAGCAAGGACTGTATCTTTGTCTGTGAATATTCAGTTGTGAAGGGTTGTGAAGTCTACTTGAAGTCTTGTACACTTCTCAAATCTCTTTGTGTTGCTTGTTGTGCAATGTTTCCAAGTTGCATGCCTGTCAACATGTGAGCTGACCTGGCTTCCACTTGAACAATAACTAACTACAAAGCCTGGCTGAGCATACACATTATCTGCCAAAAGTTTAAGACGAGAATCTAATTAGGGCTTCAGTATAATCAAAGTGTTTACATGGAAAGGTTATATGACTTCTTTGGTATTTATGTGGTTCCTTGTGGATTTTATATGTCACTTTTTGTCTTAATACAGATATTGTCAACTGACGTTACTAGCTTCTAAGTTGAAACAGAATCCCTTTGGGATTAAGAAAAGCAAAATTGGCCAAAATAAGAGGTTTAGGCATACGACGATAGGCAAAGCAGCCTTATCTCTTGTACAAAGTGCATTATTGGCACATGTAAAACTGTTTCTAAAAGGCAAAGAATGTTACATTCTTAAATTATGTATCGTTGTTAGACTATATATCCCTACTTGTACTAAGGGACTGTTCAGTAAAGGTTTCTTTTTGCTAGGTAAGCTCCCTCAATTTTACAGCAGAAGTAGTCTAGCGAATCTGCTTGACCTCTCATAATCTAAATGAGTCTTGCATTTGGGTTGGTATAAGCATTTTAATGATTTTGCGTTACCTTGTTGGAGAAGCTTCAAGAAGGTTGGAGTCAACAGATGGAAATGTAGTAGCTGCGGGATTTTGCGGGTTTTGTTGTTACTCAAAGATTCCTGGTCTTAAACTTTTGACAGGAATGATTAGATCCTATAGCTGATATTGAATGCCTTTATTAGTCAAACACATCATGACTACAAAGTCCATGCTGTCTTTTAATTTTTTTGTAGACCTATTTGAACAGTTAATGAACAAAAATGGAAACATACAGCCATATCAATATAATGCCTCCTATTCAGAAGTAAATACACGCAGTAGCTGAACTATATCTGAAAAATTGTGATTATGTTGTCTTGCATATGTTATATCTAAGGCTGTGAAAGTTTGTTACAGCTCTAGGAAAGTGTAGAAACATGACAGTATGTAGCTTTTCTTCCCCCCCCCC